GGCCGGGCCGGGTGAGGCGGGCACCCCGCCGAGGCACCATGCCGGGGACGGCCATCTGCCTGCTGCGCTGCGACCTGCGGGCCCACGATAACCAGGTAGGGCCGGGCCGGCCGCCCCCCGGGGTCCCTTTGGAAGTAGCCCCGCTGCTGGGCGGGCCGGGGAGCGGGGCGCGCCGCGTCCTGCCCCCGAGAGCTGCCGAGGCCCTCTCTGTGTTTCCAGGTGCTCCACTGGGCTCAGGGCAACGCAGATTTCGTTGTTCCCCTCTACTGCTTCGACCCGCGGCACTACCGGGGCACCCACTGCTACGGCTTCCCGAAGATGGGCCCCCATCGGCTCAGGTTTTTGCTGGAAAGCGTGAAGGATCTAAGGGAAACGCTCAAGAAAAAAGGAAGGTAGCTGAGAAAGCGCAGTGCAAATAACACGTCTGGGTTTGTTTTCTGTCTCTTTTTCAACACGTTTGTGCTGAGTCAAATCGTGTAAGATACTCGGGGCTCTGATGACGGCTCGTTTCAGAGAGTCACAGCCCATCTGTTATGTCCAGTGAGGTCCCTGACGTAGCCCCGGTTCAGATGACCTGCTGTGGCATCGGCAGGGGAGCGAAGAGCCATCCAGGCTGCGTGCCATGCGGGGTTTCGCTTTCTTGAGCTTAGATACCACAGGTGGACATCAGCCTTGAGCACTTTGCCCAGAGTCCTGATGGCTGGAGACAGGAATGGCAGTCTTCCAAGACGCAGGCAATGACATGAGCCACTGTGCGGTGTGTCCTCCCTTGTCCCTAGCGAGTTTTCCCTAGGAGTTGGCTCGAGACAGGCCAATATAGATCTTGGCTTGTGAGACTGGGGAGTTAGGTTTGCTCATGCCCTGTCCAACTAAACCCAATGTCTTTGTTAGGCTGCACTGTGGGAAGGGGATCTTTGGGGGTTCCTCCTTCATTATGCCTTTAGAAACCATGACTGGGATAGGCCAGAGCCGCAAGGTCTACGTGCTGAAGAATCCCATTGCCAGATAACATCTGACTTTGCTTAGCAAAAGAGGCATCAGCCAGGCAGTCCTCTCCCTGAGCAGCATAACAGTGGTGGTAGAAGCAAGAAGAATGGCTCAGGGTTTGCAGTGCAGTGTGGACCATGTATATGGTGAATGTTACAGGAGACTGGAAGAACTGGTCAGTGGGTATCTGCACCCACACCTTGCGCTGAACAGATTCAGAGGTGCTTGAATGCTGCTGTGTTGTTATCAGTGGCTGATTAGAGATTGGTGTTCTGCAGTGAGAGATGTGTGGCTGTGAAGAGCCACACTAAGACCTAGGCTCCATTTCCACAACCGCAATGTATCTTCTTAACACAGTGGTGAACAGAAAAATCTCCTCCATGTCCGATCTGTGGTGTTCCCTGTGGGCAGCTTGGTCACTGCTTTTCTGTGGGAGGTAAGGGGAACAGCTCTCTCCGCAGCACCCCTTGCTCCTGCCTTCTTCAAACCCAGCCCATCTTTGAAGAAACTTTTCAGTTATGCTTTAAATTATTCTTGCAAAAACACTGTATTACCCCGTCAAGAAATTCTTCTCCAGCGTAGGCCTCTGTTAGATGATGCAGTAGCGTGTGTGTGTGAGCATGTGTGTTTGTTTGTGTGTGTGTGAGCGAGGGAGACAGGAAGGGACAGTCACGTATCAGGCTCCTCACAGAACTCAGCACCCACCTCTGACCAACTTTCTCACCACAGCTTCTCTTTTGGTCTGGTGCCCTGGGTACACAACTGGGCAGTTGGTGAGGTTGCAAGGTGGGAAGGAAGTTTTGCTGACCTTTACGAACACAGAGCATTCGGAGGAAGGAATTCCTCTGAGTATTCCCACATGAAAGCGGAGAGGGGTCTGCCCACAGGCCACCACTACCTGTGAAGGGGATTGAAAGAGGAATCAGTTCTTGAATCTCAGCCTCTGTGCGTGAGGATGAACAGATGTGACAGATTTACTGTTAGGTAACAGCCTGGCTTTCTGCCCAGTCATGCTTTCTGAGGCATCCGGAGTGGTGGGAATGTGTTTGACACAAACTCAGCACCAAAGGCTTACAAACTGTGTTCAGTGGGTCCTAAAAAATGTAGGCTAGTCAAATCCTGTCTGTCTGCTTCCACATGCTGTCCATGCTCCGTGGAAGACAAGTATGTGGGTGCCTGGGCTGGGACTAGGGCCTCCTGTATACACATAAATAACAATAACATCAAACCTAATTCAGACCAATCTTTTGTGTTTGCAGTACCCTGGTTGTGAGGAAGGGGAAGCCGGAAGATGTGGTCCGTGATCTGATTACTCAGTTGGGCTCTGTCAGCGCTGTGGCTTTCCATGAAGAGGTAAGGGAAATATTTTGAGTGACATTGTTAAAAGATAAAATTAGGTTGTGGAGGTTTCTTCTGCAGCCGAATGGTGATGCAGATCCTGTGTGCTCGGAGCCTTTCTTGTCTGTGCTGTTGTTAACCTTGGGCAAACTGGCTAGCTCCTGGGGTGGGAGTGGTGTAGGTGTCCGTGTGGGAGTCCTTGCTCAATGACAGTGGCTATTTGTGATTGACCACTTGTAAGTGCTGTGTCTTGAGGAAGAGGAGTTCCTGGTATTTTAGGTCAGCCGAGTCCAGTTCTCCTCCTGCTTTCATCAAGCTGCCTTTTCCTGGTGCCTTCCTTGCGCAGGGAGCTAGCTGCCAAGGGGCATAAGTGTAGAAAAGGCCCATGGTGAGTTGAGAGCACCCATATTTAGGCAGTTGCCTACCAATGTGTTAAAGAACAAAACACGAGTCCGGTCCCGGACTGCGGACGGGGTTGGTGTGTCACTGACCTTTCTTCACTGAGCCAACTTAGTGGTTTGACCCAGAGCCTGCTGATTTCAGCAGAGGGCTCTGGATCCAAGCCCCTGGGCCTGGAGGCTTTGTGTACACTTACACACACGTAGATACGTACGTAGATGCACTCAACATTAGCAGAGTCTGGGCCTCAGAGCGGTCTAGTGCAGGAGTCACTCTGTGACCTGCACTGCAGGTAT